CCCCCTGCATTCTTAAAGTGGGAAGGATGTGACTGTGTATTTTATTAATAAATACGTGCATATTACTGCTTTAGTAAACGTGAAACCATCTAGGAGTATGTAGACTTGTAAACTTTGTTAATAGAGATTGACCCCCTCACCCCCATACACACCCCCTTCCATACTGTGCAATATCTTTTTGCACAAAATGATATTTTGTCAAAAATATGAAACTCTCTGAATATACAACAAAAACTTTTTTTTCTAAAATTTGTTAGCCAAAAAAAATATGGAGTTTACTTTACCAATCCTTAAATCTTCAGGAAATTTTAAAGAACTAGAATTATTTGCATCTATTTGCANATTCTGGCTCATCTGCTTTTTACCAAACAAAAATGTCAAGCAAAAAATAATATTTTCTCTCCCTAGAAATTTTCGAAAATCGTTAAAATATTATGAAACATAATCTGCAGAACAGAAATTTTACTTTTATGTCACGTTTTTTACGAAAAACTTAAATCCATGACAAGTGGTTCGTGGAATTGTTACACGAATAGAATAATTTGAAAGTTGAATAGATTAGGAGTGTTTAGCGTGAGGCCCTTTTGGCGATTTTGATTTTTGCAGTTTCACGCTCCTCCAGCCGTTCATCAATGCTATAATCTACAAGCTGTCCAAAAAAAAATGTAAAGCACACCAGGAAGTTTTTTTTTCAAAAAAAATGGCCGGAAAAATTATAATTGTTAAAAAGGCTTAGTTGATAATTTTGAATAGCTCTTTTTTCTAAACATTTCGAAATTTTTTTAGACCACAATCTGCAGAAATCTTACCGTGCAATTACGTAGGTAAAATTTTCTATTAAAACGATACATTTATACAACAAAACAAGTTTAAATTGACCTCTAGATAGNTCGTGACCAAATTATAATATTTCAAAAATCGTGACCAAATTTTAATATTTCAAAAATCGTGACCAAATTATAATATTTCAAAAATCGAGACCAAATTATAATATTTCAAAAATCGTGACCAAATTATAATATTTCAAAAATCGTGACCAAATTATAATATTTCAAACATTATAACCAGATTATAATATTTCAATAATCGAGACCAAATTATAATTTTTCAAAAATCGTGACCAAATTATTATATTTCAAAAAGCGTGACCAAATTATTATATTTCAAAAATCGTGACCAAATTTTAATATTTCAAAAATCGTGACCAAATCATAATATTTCAAAAATCGTGACCAAATTATAATGTTTCAAAAATCGTGACCAAATTAGAATATTTCAATAATCGAGACCAAATTAGAATATTTCAAAAATCGTGACCAAATTATAATATTTCAAAAATCGTGACCAAATTATAATATTTCAAAAATCGTGACCAAATTAGAATATTTCAATAATCGAGACCAAATTATAATATTTCAAAAATCGTGACGTATAATATGTTTAACACCCTCCTTTGTACACTGACGCATTATATTTCACGTTTTTAGATCAAGTTCCTTTATGAAATATAAGAAAAGGTTAAAAAAGCAATCTCAGATCATGTCTGAAATATATACGTAATATAAAGGATGACTGCGCAAATCATAGTTTTAAAAGGACTGTATGATTTTTAATCAATCTCTCTATGACTTTAAAAATTCTTTTTTCCTCAATGCTTTTGCTAAGAAAAATCTTTTTGTATGATGATGCAATTTCGTAATAAGGATAATATGAAAATAACATAATTTCATCGGTAGAAGCCAAAACTGTTTTCAAAATATATGCTTTTATAGAAATAAAATCTTTAAAATATAAAAAGTTTCTCAACTGAAGCTGAACCCTTTAATTGATTTGATGAACCCGATTATTAAACTAAATTCAAACAATTTTTAACGCTTTAAAAACT